AAGCCGAGCTCTAATCCATGCCGGGGACACAGGCTCTGACCCCTGGTTCCAGATCTGGCTCTCCTGAAGCCCTTGTGGATGGGACACAGCGATGGCCTTTGGTTCTGCTATCTGCACCTTGACCCCCATTCTTAAGACTTCTGGAATTTCCTGGGTGACAGATAGCATCTGGCATGGAATTCCTAAGCCCTGTGGGATTCCTGAGGGATGGGAACACTTGTGTTGTCCCGGGTGACTCATAGTGGCTCCCGTTTGGTCCAGAACAGATACTCCTACACAGGGGACCCATGCTCAGAGTTAAGGGTTGGGGAGGAGCTCAAGGCTCAGTGTATACCAGTAGCTAGGGATGGCACCGATCCGGCCTAGGACATAATCTGCCATACCCCAGAAGGACCAAATTCAAGAGCTTCCTTGTAGCTGGGTGCATGGGAGTCCCAGAGGGTGGGGGTGTGGAGGAAAGCGGGAGCTGAGTGCTATGTCCTCTCCCATGTCACGACACCCCAGGCATGGAAGGGTTAAAGAATGGACACACAACATACACAGGGACGAATGGATGCCTGAATTCATTGGAGCTACCCAGATATCAAAACCCTTCATTATAAAGCTGGGTGTGATCCGGGCGGTGGTGGTGGTAGCACACGCCTTTAATCCCAGCACTTGGGAGGCAGAGGCAGGTGGATCTCTGTGAGTTCGAGGCCAGCCTGGTCTGCATGGGGACTTAGTGAGTTTCAGGCCAACCAGGGCTACATAGTGAGAACCTTTCTCTAAATAAATAGGTAATTATGGGGCTCCACTGGTGAAGGGGTTTTTACTGTTTTTTAACAGTAAAAGGTAGACCTGAGGGGGGATCCCCAGCACCCACACAGACAGCTTGTCCTTGTGTGGAGTGCTCTCCCTACAGGCTCTAACTAAATGAACAACCCGGGGGACAGGAGCAGCGCTGAGGCCCTGGGGCGCTCTCCACCCACAAGCCATCAATGAATGCATGGATGGTGAGGTATCCATATGAAGGAATGGATGAATGAATGAATGAATGAATGAATTCAGGAAGGAATTGGCAAATGAAAGAAGTGATGAATGTATGAGTGAAGGAAGGAACAAACAGTACTTCTGAGAACAGTGTGTGAGCCCCAGACCTCCTTCCACTGATCCCAACACTAACCCCTGTAACGGGGTTTCCCACCAGAAACCCTGCTCACCTGCCGGGGGCTCACAAGGATGCTATTGGATTTCGCTCCCGTTTTCACCGTCTGGCCGGGGTTCTCTCCCTTCACAGGTTCAGAGCCTGTGGGCCCTGTGGCCCCAGCCCCTCCTGGAGGCTGGGCAATGGCATACTCGGCGTACGTCTGAGGGGCCGCTGGGACCGAGGGGGCCGTGGTGCTGGGGTTCCGTGAGGATCTGAATAAGGGCTTGGCCTGTGGGCAGAAAGGAAGGCTGGGGGCTGTGAAGGAACACTGGAACCCTCACCTTCCTCTCCGACTCTCATCCTTCTTCTTCTTCCACATGCTGGGGGGGGAGGGCTAAGAACTCAAAACAAGGCTGGGGTTCTGGCTCAGTGGGTGCTGTGTGTGGAGAAGCTCTGGGTGAGCCAGGCAGACCTGGGAGGCAGAGGCAGGAGGATCACAAGGTCAAGTCGTACTCACTGATGTGGTAAGTTTAAGGCCAGCCTGGGCTACCTGAGACCCTGTCTGAGTGAAAAATTAGCCGGGCGGTGGTGGTGCACCACCATGGCAGCTCACAACACTCTCTCTCCAGTTGCCAGCCCCTGGTCTCTGCAGGCCTACATGCACGCAGTGCTCACACATATGTGCAGGCGAAACATCTACACACATAAAAAATATATATATTATATATATAATATAATATATTATATGATATTATATTATATGATTATATATTATATGATATATAATAGATAATATAATAGATAATATAATGTATAAATTATATATATTAATATATATATTAAATCCAGCATGGAACTGTTCTGTAAT